ATAAAAATTCGTAAGAAAGAGCCAGGTGGGTATACTTTTAAATCAGATTCATTTTTCTATTCTTAGATTTTGAGAAAGAGGTTGAATTGAGACTAATGGGTTAAAACTACAAGGAGGTGGGGTAAGTTTCAATGTGTTATAAGGAAGAAGTTTTTACAGGTCAAAGTTGTCCAAAGATGGAAGGAGAGATGACATTCTCCGTTAGAGGCTATTAAAGCAGAAGGTGGGGAGCACTTTGCAGGAACGCGGTGGTTGTACTGATTTTCAAATTCAGACAGGTTAGATTAGATCATCTGGGCAGATGCTGGAAATAGAAGGCTCGGAGTCCAGGCCCATGGGGATGCCCTGGGATCTGTATTTTTAACAAACTACCCAAGCTATTCTCATGTTCAGTGGGAAGGCATCAGACACCTGTAAGGAACTGCTCCAATTCAGGAGTCTATAGTCTTCTGCATGAGTTAATGGAATTAACAGCATTGCAATGGTAGTGAAGAATCCATATTCTCTCTTTGGTTTTGTCCCTAACAAGCTGTGTGGTTTTTTGAGTACATTATATCCTGTTTCTGTAAGAATAAGTGAGACTAGATGTATCTTATGGCTCTTATATGCTAGGAATTTATGTTTCTGAGGGTAGCCTGGAAGAAACTAATCATCAAAGTCCCTGGAAAATTCCTCATGACATTCAGGTGATGGAGAATTATCCTTGAATAACTGTCTATTACAGATGGGAAAGGCCATGCAACCTGGCTGGTTTCCTGGAATTGGCAGGCATTAGGCCCAGGATATGTCTACCGAAGTGATTTTCAACCATTTTCATTTCATGGTGCAGGTACACTAATTACTAAAATTCTGTGGCACACCAAAATATATATCATACCTTTTGCCAATCTGACAAAAAGATGAAAGTTATAATTTTGACTACTTGTGTGACCTTGAAAAAGTAATTTAGGCTCTTGATTTTATAGTTTCTTCAATTACAAAATGGCGATAATAACAGTTCCTATTTTATAGGATTTTTGTGAAGACTAAATGAGGTGTGGCTCTAGAATTATGGTTTCAGTTGATGCTGTGATTGTTGTTGAAAGAGCCCTCCTTATTACTTGCTTAGACTCCCTCATCTAAAGATTCCCTAACTAGTCTCAACACTCCATAAATGTGTTTTAAATTCCAACTCCATAAACAAAACCATTTTGACTGAAACCTGGTATACTTTTCATGCATTTGGGCCTATGAAAAAAAATTCTTTTTTCTCCACCTGCAATTACTTTCCCCAGTTTTCTACTCATGTTTAAGGCCTAGTTCTAAAATTATTAATGTGGTAGATAATTATAATAATGGCCTCCAATGAATCATGTCTCCCCAGGTCAACCTGACATTGCTACTCCTACACCAGGAGGCGGAGTTGGTTTCTCCCCCCTCTCAGTCAGGGCTGGTCTTGGGATTTGCTTTAAAGAATAGATTGTGGTGGACTTGACACTGTATGAGTTCTGGAGCCTCGGCTATAAGAAGCCTTATAGTTTTCATCTTCTCCCTCTTGGCACTCGGAGACTATCAGGCTGTGAAGAAGCCCAGTTTACCCTACTGGGGGTACAAGACGATATGGAGGAGAATCGAAGTCCCAGCAAAGACTAAGCATTGCTGCTAAACCAATGAGTGAGACCCACCCTGTGGCATCAACTGAACTATCAGATGAGTAGGGCCTTATTGGTGAGACCAGCAGAAGAATGGCCTGGATTGCCAATTCATGGAATCATGATCATGAGAAATAAAGATTCATTATGGTTTGTGGTGGTTGGTTATGCAAGATACTGATATACATTCTTAGAGAAATGTTCTAGATAAACTCAAGAAAAACTCACCATTCTCTCCTCTGGGCTTTGTTCATTCTTCTATTATAGCACACAGCTCATATAATTATTGTTCTACCAGTGTCTGTTTCTCTCACTAACTTAATAGCTTTTGAAAGTAGAGATCAGGTTTCCATTCATCTTTATATCTGCTGTGGCTATTCTAGTGCCTGGTACCTAGCAACTGTGGACATTTATTCCCCTGGTCATACACTCACCATTTTCTGAAATGCTTTCACTTGATCTCTGGAACTCATGGTCAATCATAAGTAAAATATATTATATCCTCCACTTTTCAGTCAATATTCCTTTCATCTTCTTATTCTTCCCCAGCGACCATGGTTCCCTGCAGCCCTCTTAGATGGCAGCTGTTTTGCCTCACATGCCTTATACATCATGGGGTTTGAAGGCAGGTAAGTGATCTCATGGCTTATGTTTCTTATGGCTTCTTTCAGACTGCCTTTATTCCCTCCCTCTTCTTTAAAAAAAAAAACAACACCCACTCAGCTTTGACTCCCATGACATCAGATTAAATGACCTAGACTTTTTGTTGTGAAAGTCATTTATTGATGCCTGGGCCTCTGTCTCTATAAAGATTTTAACCACAGATCCACAACCACCCTCTCTAACACTCTCCCAGTAGTGATTTCAATATCCAGAGAGCTCAATCTACCAAAATCATGGCTACTTCTTTCAACTTGACTTCCTCTCTTCCACAGATCTTGTCCTTTACCCGATCTTAGTCATTTATTCCCTTGGTCATACTTTACTCGTTGTCACCACTAATATATTGCAACCCTAGATATTCCACTATCCAATTGCCACCTCCTATATTTTTAGCTCTCTTACTCTCACCTCCAACTCCAAAACTCCTTTGCCACTGGACTTAAAATTTATTGTAATTACTACTCTTCACTGTTCCTTACCTATCTCATTATTCAGTTAAAATTTAATGGTCAATCCTTTTGGTTGTTCTCTTCCTCTTTCTTGATTTATCATACTCTTATATTTGATATAGCCCTAATTAAGTCCAACTTTCTACCTAATAGGTGCCCATATCTGGGGAGCTAAATTGGCTGGAGAAAGAATTGCCTCTCTTTAAATTCATACATTTTAATAATCTCAAGAGAGTCCTTAATGCTACCTAACACTCAAAACTCTATTTCCCTAGCCAACTAATCTCTTTACTTTCCTAGATTTCTTTTATAGCTTCTAATTTCTCCCCAGACCTTCAGCATCTTACCCTCTTTGCTTCCCATATTACTAAGAAAATAGAAACAATTAGAAGAAAACTTCTAAGAGCTCCTACCACATTTCTCGATTATTTGTACCTCTGTGTATCGATTATGAATCCCTTCTTTTTTCTATGAATAAATTGTACATCTTCCTAGCCAAGTCTTCCCACCTATCTATGCATTACATTCAATCTCTTACCTACTTGCTGATATCACTTGAATTTTCCCTGTTTCTCTTGTACCACTTTTCCCTTTTGAGTGAGCCATTCTCATCATTATAAATATATTGCCACTTTCATATTATTTGAAATCCTGCAAGTCCTGACCCCCATTTACCCATTTAAATACTACTGCATTTCTTCCTTTTAAGGAAAATTCCTTCAAAGATTAATTACACTCACTTATTCAAATTGCTTTCTTCCTATTCTGACTTGAACCAACTCCAATGAGGCTTTTTGCCCTCAATGCTTCATGGAATGTGCACTTATCAAGGTCAGCAATCAATTTTGATGATGCTAAATTCAATTGTCGATTCTTAGTCCTAATCTTAGTTGATTTTTTTACATAGTAGATCAATTCTACTCTTCCTTGAATCACTTTCTTGAAAACTTGGCTTCCAAGAAACCATATCCTCCTGATTTTTCTTCTTGTCTCCAGGTACTCTTCCATTTCTTTTTTAATATTAAAAAAAATCTTTATTGTTGAGAGCATTACAGATATCTTCCCCCCCACCTTTTTTTTTACCCATTGCTTCCCTTCACCCGGTTCCTACCCAACCCTAGGCCTTCACCATCCTAATGTCTGTGCCCATGGGCAGTGTATACACGAATATAGGTTCTTTGGTTAATCTCTTCTCCCTAAAAACTCCACCCCAAAACTACTAGATTTAATAAATGAATCTGGAAAAGTAGCAGGATACAAAATTAACATCCAGAAATTGACAGCATTTTTATACACCAATAATGAACTCTCAGAAAGAGAAACTAACGAGACAATCCTATTTACCACTGCAACAACAAAAAATTAAGATACTTAGGAATAAATTTAACCAAGAAGGTAAAAGACCTATACTCAGAAAACTACACGACGTTGAAAGAAGAGATGGAAGAGGTACAAACAAGTGGAAGTATGTACTCCTCAATTACTTTTGCTGATTCATGTTAGCAGCCCACCACCACAAGCAGGATACAGAACAGTTCCATTGCCTCCTAAAGTTCCCTTGCACTATCCCTTTGTAGCACATTCTTCCCATAATTCCCAATCCCTGGTAACCATGAATCTGTTCTCCAGCACTATAGTTTTTGAAATGTCATATAAATGGAATCATATATTATCTAACCTTTTGAGATTGGCTTCTTTCACTCAGAAAAATTACTTTGAGACTCACCCAAGTTGGTATATGTATCAATAGTCCACTCCTTTTTATTGGTGAATGAGCACACAAAACACACAACTGCACCCCCCAAAATAAGGCAGAAAAACATTTCTAAAACCACTTCTTTTAGGAGTTCAAGTACAATAAGTTAAAAAACTTAAAGGCATTTTGTAGAATCTGAACATAAGACTTTCTTAAAGCTTTTTTGAAACTAAAGTAAGTTCTTTAACATTTTTGTGCTTATCTACATCCTGTAGGCCAGATTACTGATGGGATAGCCTGTTTATTGATGCACTTGTTATTTCCCAGAATCCTTAATCTATACACAGAAGGGCTGGTCAGGCATGGTAAGACCATTCTGAGTTATCAGCAAAGAGTAGCCTCTTCCTAGAAACCAGGACCACCCTCAACCGTAAGAAGCATGTTGAAGGTACCATCTCTACTATTTACAAATTCTTAGACACCCCCCAGATCACAATCAAGGCTACACAACTCTTCAGCCTTTCCCTGTTGCCTCCAAAACCTTATAAGAAGAATGTTTACCTGTGACAACACTGGGGATTTTGGAGAGAAAGCTCTTGACTGTTCTGATGGGCACACCCCCTGTCTTGTCATCTTGCATCTTTGTAATGATGTCTTCAATCTGAAAGAGGTTAAAGAAAAGAAGTGTTATTGTCTCCCACAAAGTAATAGTAAATGACACCTTTATAAATAGTCAAAATGTGGGAAGGCGCATGCCAACAATAGGTATCAGGAAATGTCAGTCAATACATACAGTAGTAGGATCGTCTGTAGACCATGTGTTGTGGGTGGGAGGTTAGGGGATTACATACAATAGCATAAAGTATGGTCTGTAAGAATAACCCTCAGTTTAACAAGGTAAGGAGGGAGAAATACATAAGATTCTCGATAGGATCCAACATGGTTGTGGTGAAATCACTTCTCTTTTGCAAAATGGGTTCACATATATGTTCAACCATATGAAATTTCCATATTCAACCTAAAAATAGCAATTTCCTATAGTTTAACTAAATATCTTAACATGCTACTGTTAGAAAGTATAGGCAGGGCTGAAGAAGCTGGAGGACAAGTCTCGGTGGTTGTGAGTGGTGGTGTGAAGGGGGCCACCTTGAGCCAGGGCTAAGGTAGAGCAAGGACAGGATTCTCTCCTTTAGGACTAAAGAAGACCACACTCTCAGAGAAAGACCACGATGGGCTGTGGCCTGGAGCCAGGGGAAATCTTACTGATGAAACCAGATACTATGCACATACATTGAAAACAGAATAGAGAGAGGTGATGGACTCTCAAGGTTACAGGTGCCTAAACTGGGAAACCAGTTTGTTGCTAAGAATTTACAACCCTGGGCAGAAATCTTCAGAATAGGGTGCAGAAGAATCTGTAGTAAGGACGTTTTGTTTGGAGAGGGGGGCGGTGCGGGGAGAGCAGCTGGAAAAGGGGAGAGGATAATGTTTAGCTTTCTCACACATTTTGTTTCCCTGAGCCACAAAGTATCTTTGAAACACCAGGATGGCTTTCCCGAGTTATTCCTTAATAGATTTTAAGTGTAGAAATTTAAACATACCTTGTCTAACATACTAGGAATGCAATTTGAGGGTAAGGGAATTTCTCAGTCAGATGACTAATAACTTCTTTGAAATAAGTAGATAACTTGCTAGAGACAAAGTTAGGATATGGCATATCTTAATAATATATATGTATATACATATACATACACACACACAATAGGTAAATATATTCAGAATTTATTGTGTGCTAGGTACCACTCTAAGTATTGCACACATATTACCCTATTTAATCCCCATGATTATTTCATAAACTAGATTATACTATTATCATTATTTTTAGATTAAAATAACGAAGATTTAATGAGGTGTATCAATCAGGGTAGATAAGGTTAAGTTGTGGTAACAAATAACCCTCAAAATCATGATGGCTTACTAAAACCAAGTTTTCTCTCTCTCTCCTGCTACAAGTCTATTACATACAGGTCACCAGGGGGACTGCTCACTGTTGTTACTCTGGGGCCCAGGCTGACGAAGCAGCCACCATCTGGGATGTTGCTGGTCATTGTGTAGGAGGGACAAAAGAAAATTCTGGAGAATCTTACAGTGGTTATTAAATGTGAAAGCCCAGAAGTTACACAGAACTCATTTACTCACAATTCCTTGGCCAGAACTAGTTACACGGCACTACCCAACTGCAAAGGAGTCCTCTGGGTGCCAGGAGGAGAGGGAAACGGACCCCTGTGAGTAGCATGCATGACCACCACAGAGATTAAACAACCGGCCCCAGGTCACACAGATACCCAGTTGTGGATCTGAGTTTGAACCCAGCCGTAGATCCCAGAGCTCAGGCTTCCACACACCTGGGTTGCTCTGCCAACTGATAAGATTAAAAAAAAACCCAGCCCAGAACAGGGACCATTCTCCCCTGGATATTTCTGGGTTTTCCTGAGAGGTACTACTAGTGAGAGGGTATCTGAAGCTTCTGACATCTTAGGCCAGCGGTTGCCAACCGGTGGTCCACGGACCACTGGTGATCCGTGAGGTCCGAAAGGTTGGCAACCGCTGTCTTAGGCAATGGATGGATATGTCATGCTAGGAAAAAGGGTCATTCTCTGAAGACCTGCATTCTGTTAAATGACAGAAAAAGGGTTGTCATTTACATTCATTTTCATAGTTTCAACTAGTGCCCCGCCTTCTGTCCTCTACACACAGCCCAACGATTTAGAATTGAGTATTACTGATAGTGAAGGAGAGTAATTCCTAGAAAAATGGACATTTTCAAAGTAATCAATGCTTTGATCTATTGTGCTATCTGAAACCCAACATTAGTTACATTGCTGCTTTTTAGGAAATGGCCTGAAAATCATGGGGAATTGGAGGGAAGCCAATATTTCAATTCTGTTAGAACCCTGACATCATTAGATGGTAATGATCTCCATTCTCTGCTGATGTGAGCTGCACTTAAAGATTAGTCTCCATGATTCTCTTATCCTCTGCTCTGTTCAGTTGCTTTATCACACCATTGAATCTTTATTATTATTATACTAGAGGCCTGGTACACGGGATTCATGAACTGTTGGGGGGCGTGGCCTGCAGGGATTGGCCCGCTGTGGGACCACAGCTCATCCTGGTCAGCTTAGCAGCTGTGGACCCGCTCTCTGAGTGGCTGCTCCCTGGTCCGGCATCTTCTGTGGAGCAGAGCATTCGCCTCTCCAGGGGACCCGGTCAGGGCTGGGCCCAGGGACAATAGCACTGAGAGGCGGTGGAGTAGGCCTCAGTCCTGTGGCAGCCACGAACCCACCTCCCAGCCTTCAGGGTCAGCTCTGTAAGCCTGGCAGCAGCACTGCGCAGCCTACAGGCATCTGGAGGAGGTGGCAGGGAGTGAGGAGGAGGAGCTTGGAGCAAGGAGGAAACAATTGCAGCCCAGGTTCCTGCCCATTGGCCTGGGGTTCACAATGGGAGCAGCTGCTCATCCCAGTCAGCCGAGCGGCACTCCCACTGTGGTAGTGCACTGACCACCAGGGGGCAGCACCTGGTGGTCAATGCATGTCATAGCAACTGGTCGACCAGTTGTTCTGGTTGTTCCACCATTGGTTGCTGGGCTTTTATTATATAGGACTAGAGGCCTGGTGCATGAAATTTGTGCAGGGAGGGGTGTCCCCTCAGCCCAGCCTGCACCCTCTCCAATCCGGGACCCCTCAGGGGATGTCCTGGGGATAGGGCCTAAACCAGCAGTCGGATATCCCTCTCACAATCTGGGACCACTGGCTCCTAACTGCTCACCTGTCTGCCTGCCTGATCGCCCCTAACTGCCCCCTCTGCTGGCCTGGTCACCCCCAACTGCCCCCCCTGCTGGCCTGGTTGTCCCCAACTGCCCCCCCCCGCCAGCCTGGTTACCCTCACTGCCCCCCTCTGCCGGCCTGGTTGCCTCCAACTGCCCCCCTGCTGGCCTGGTTGCCCCACACAGCCTGCTACTCAGTCGTTTGGTCATCCCTCACTAACCCCCCTGCCAGCCTGGTCGCCCCACGCAGCTGTTCGGTCATCCGTTCGGTTGTTTCGGTTGCGACAGTTGCTTAGGCTTTTATATATATAGATAAGTTTCAGGTATATAACATTATAATTCAACACCTGTGTAAACTACAAAGTGGTCACCCAAGCCCTAACTTCTTATGCTGGCCTACACTGTACGGAGAGGTATAACACTCATTAGAGGTCACAGCTGGATCAAAAGGACAATCCCCTTAACTGACCAGAAAGGGGTTACATTCTAGCAATAGTTTACAACATCAGAGAAATAGAAGAATGTTTCATTGGTCCCCAGTTCTTGATTCCTCCATATATTAATATACACCTAAATTCTGGCCTGGACTCATGGAGGGCAGAGGGTCTGCTTCTTGACTTTTTGGCTTGGTCATGTGTCTTGCCTGGCTAATGGGATGCTATTGAACATGATGTGAATAGAGGCTTTCAAGATACCTGCATGGTTAGGGTCACCCTTTTCTCTTGCCCTTCTGCAGCAGATAGTTGTTATTCCAAGGAAGGTGAGAGACATGTGGAGCAGAAGGGGCCCATCCCTGACTAAATCAATCAAACCTCAGCTGCCCTGCAGGCTCATAAGGAAGAAATGAATGCTTATTGTTATATGCCACTGAGTCTGGGGTGGTTTTCTATGCAGCAAAATTGTGTCTACATGTTGAAATTGAGGCTCAGAAAGTTTAAGTGATTTATTCAAGGACACAAAGCTAGTAAATGACAAAGCCAGGATCCTTACCCAAGTCTTCCTGACTCTAATTAATGCCCAAGCTCTGCCTATCAAATCTAAGATTTATCTTTTTGTCCTTAACCAGTGCCTGCCAACATGCTTTTCAGATACAGACACTTAATACTGTTTGCATTGAAGGGAAAGTTTAGTTCAGTCCTGAGGGGGTAGAGCAGGAAACAGAGAAATTGATCCAGATAATCAGTTTATCAGCCATCTCAGGATTGATTTTGGCCCAATGACTGATGAGCTCAGTCTTCTCTCTCTTTGTCCCAAGGGTTTAGTTGGATTTATCTTGTACTGGTAGATCACATCTTCTGGGTTGGGAACAGAGAGTTGGGAAGGCATATATACTTATATTTTCTTGATTGTTCAGGTCTATCTAACTTCCGACACCTTTTGTTCCTGAGGAAGAGCAACATCGATTCCCTGGCATTCTTTAATATGAAGTTCTGTGTCACTGGGGAGCTTGTTGGACCTAAGTTTCACTGTGCCCATCAGTTAGCAGGTGGCCCTTATCTGACAGCCAAGCGATGCAGAGAAACCACTTGGCCGGCTTGGCTGGTTCTGCCTGGATGGGTCACAACAACCAGGATGCCCTTCTCCAAGGAGATCCAAGCTCCACACTAACATGCAGGTAGAACATTTTCTAAACAGCAGGAGAAAATGGAAATCATTACACCACAGGGTGGGTTTTCTCTGAAAAGAGGAATATTATGAGATGGTAGAGATAGTTCATTGAAATAGCTATGAAGTATAAGAGAGAATGAGGAAAAGCAATCCTCTCTTTTCAAACTAAAGCCACAGAAGGACAGCAGGACAGTAAGTCCGAGGCCTGAGAGAAATGCTGGCCTCAG